GGTATCTTTGGAAATGCTAATACTGTTTCAATTGATTCTGCTGTATTCTTTTAAAGCTGTGGCAAATGTTCGCCCAGTTCCCACAGTCCCACCCCGTTGCTTGCCTCACCGCTGAACCCCAGCCTGCGTCATTTGGGCCTGATGTAGGTCCGCAAGCCAACCAGAGCCTGTCCCCACCACCACCACTAATATCACGAGCACCAGCAGCTCCAGCACTATATGCATCATTTTTATCTGGCACTGGCTGAGGCTGAGGATAAGACAAAGAGGAGGGGGTGAGAGTAAAAGCAGAGGGGAGGAGAGGGACTGAGGGTGGCAGAGCTTCGGTCGAAGACGAATGAGTCATGCAGAGGAGGGATACAACTGAAGAGCGACTGGAGGGGGGACAGGAATATCTGAGAATGTGAAAAGGGTGAGGCAGGGGAAGACAAGTGGCACAAGGGATTCATTCTTCTGCGGCCATTATGGTTCCATTTCTGAGGTTGACCCTGCAAATGTCATGTGGGAATCCCAGCTACAAATCACAGCTGAGACTTTACCACAAAGCCTGTGGCAGTCCCCAGCCCATCCAAACTATCTCTCAAAACCATTACAGCTCCTCCTAGCCCAGCCAAGCTATCACTCATAATGATGTTGGACATGCTGCCGCAACAAGGTCAGAAAAATCCAACAACTTCTTTTTGTTACGCTGAGTTTTTGAAAACTTTGCCCAGGCAGGCTATCACTCTCAATTAGGTTCTTGTATGAGTCATATCACATTAATAATATTGCTGTCAAAGGAAATGTCAACATTTAAATTTCAATCTACTGTAAGCAAATCATAAGAACTTTTAAGTTTGATTTGTAAGTAAAATGTGCCAGAAAAAACTGTTTGAGTGAAGCTTGGAACTGAACACGTCACTGCCTTTCCCACATGCCTTGACTCTCATTCTTTGTTGTTCTAATCCTGTTATCTCCCAATGTCACAATTTGTTCTACTTGACTCTAAGTTTGTGTTTTTTGCAGACAAGCTCGGTAGCAGCATTAGGGTAGAAAATGTCCAGGCTTTGGAGGACATGACTGCCTCTTATGTCT